AATTAAATTTCAATGAAAGTAAAATTACTTATCAATCAATTTAAATTTTCTAATAACAATTTAAATTTAATCGACTTAACTTTTTCTTATACCATAGACTGTTTATATTATTAAAATATAAGAAACCAGTATTAGCATATAATAACTAATATATTAATCATTATTTTAGAGCATCATTTATTATTTTTGGTATTTTTCTTTTTTTTTTTTTTACTTTTTGGTAGACGAACATAAAACTAATTTATGGTTGATTTTTTGAGAAAATTTTTTTTCAATATATTAATATCATTTGCTAATAAAACGAGTTATATCAATTTTATATTATATATATAGTGAGCTTTATTTTCTATTTTATACAAACAATAAATCTTATCATATATTTCTTAATAAATAATAATAAATTTTCATATATTAATATCATTGGCTAATAAAACGAGTTATATCAATTTTTATATTATATAATATAGTGAGCTTTAATTTCTATTTTATACAAAAACAATAAATTCTTATCATATATTTCTTAATAAAATAATAAAAATAATAATAAATTACATTTATTTTTTTAGAATAAGTTATTTGTAGGAAATAATTATAACCAATCAAATTAAAGATTTATTAAAAATAATAATTAAACATATGATATTCTTACCGTATTTAATATGTACCTTATTAAATATTTAATATTGCAATATTTAATATATACTTTATTTAGTATCCATTAAATAGTATTTATCATACTATATTACTATATAATACATAACCTTATAGTATTATCATATTATATTATATTATATTACCATATTTAAGCTATACGTTACATATCTTATTTAATATTATATATAATATGGTTTTGGTCAGTTCCGATTATAAATTAACCCATAAAATTAAAAATTTATTAAAAATAATAATTAAACATATATTATATTCTTACCATATTTAATATATTAACATATTTAAAATATATACGTATTTTAATATCGCATAAATAGTAGGGTTATCAATATTAAGATATATATTATAATAAACCTAATTTTTATATTATATGAGCTTGGGTTCGTTATGAGTCTTTTCGAATTTCAAAAACTTGTCGGTTTGCATTTATAAAATTTATTAAAAATAATAATTAAACATATATTATATTCTTACCATATTTAATATATACGTTATTTAATATCCATAAAATAGTATTATCATATTAAGATATATATTATATACCTAATTTAATATTATACTATATGATTTCGATTTCAAAACTGTCGGTTGCATTTATAAGAAAAAAGATGAAACTGAATAGTATTTTCATATTTTATATATACCTTACATAATATATAATACAAGTTTTTATTTCATCTAATAGAATTTAAATTTAAATAAGAAATTAATATGACCAATCAAAATTAGATTATATTTATTTTTTTATCCAATTAAATTAAAATCTTTAATCAATACATAAATTTAGTACGAGCATTTTTTTGCAATCCGAATATTCCACCACTCATTCTCACTTGTATATATATTATAGATAATGATTCTTATTTTTTTAAAAAAAAACTTCCTATATAGTTTTTTACTTGATGAACATATTTTAGTTCTCTATTAAATAAGAGGAGGATCATTTAAAAAGTTTGAAGTGATTTTTTCTTCACACGTGTCTCTATGCTCGGAGTAGTATTTATGTAAAAAGCTCTCAATAGAAAGGTCTTTAAATCTTGAACTTTGACCTTATAAATAAAGTTAATTTAGACATGTAGTTCAACTATTTGTGATAAATTTAAAGTGACTTTCATAAAAAAAAAAAAAAAAAGATTTTAACGCATATTTCTCTATTTACTATCTCTTTATATAATTTTTACCTTCCCGAATTTCAAATTAAAAGAAACAATCAATGATTTAATTTTGAATGATAGATAGTGCATTTTAGTGCCTCGCTGAAATTTATGACAAATTAGTAAAATTAACCCCTTAGGAAAGGCTTCATCATGAGAAAAAAGTCACGCCAGTGATGATGATACCCCAAATTGCTTTCTTACCACAAATCAACTTTTACTTGGATTAATTAATACATTCATCTTCAATGGTGTTTCAACTTTAAGGACATCAATAATGAAAAATCTCAAATTCCATCCATTTTAATTACTGGAATTCTTATTAATTTAGTTAGAGTTGTTAAAAAAAACTTGATAACGGCCGGATTTAATCGTAGAATCAGCAATTTAGAGAGAATTTTTAATATAATCGCCTTATGACTGAAATGATTAATTTCTCATTTGATAGTAAAAATTACTCCATCCGTCCCACATATAAATCATTTTTTGGATGATTATTTTGTTTCAAAATATAAGTTATTTTAAATATTTTAAGGAGTAATAATTTATACATTAGATTCAATAACTGACTCTATGAGTTATTGTTGGTTTTGAAATAAAAGAGTTTAGTCAAAATATTATTCGTTTTTATAATAATTTAGGAGAACTAATTGCTTTTATAATATCCATATAAAAATTTTAAATGATTTATATTTTAGGACAGAAAGAGTATACGAGTACTAATTTCACTTTTTGTAAAGCTAAATATATAAAAGAAAAAAGAGAGAAGAGTTTCAAATTCGATACAGTAATTATAAAAATTTTAGTAAAAGTTATTCAAAGAGGAGTGTTTTACATTTTTTATTCACAATATTATTTCTACTTATTTAACTTTTATGAAAAAGAAAATTAAAAAAGATAATTAGTGGTAATTAAGAGATGTTTAGTGGAAAATGAAGTTGGTAGTCATTATCAAAGGTCTATGTGAAAATGTGAAGCGGTGATGATTAGGTCCATAGAAAACAATATTTGGGAAGCACATTGATGATTAGGTCCGTAGAACTGAAGTTTCAGCAATGCCAATGCGTTCGGTGCTCCCTATGATTGTTCCTTATCTCATTCTTTCCCATTCCTGTGGACTACTCTCTACTCCGTCCCTGTCCCATTCCCATACAAACACTCTACTCCATTCTCTTCAATTTCAAATAATATTTTTTTCCAATAAATGTTTTAATGAGCATTCCATACCCAATACATGTGATTCCTGGTTTTCTCTCTTTATAAATGCTTTTCTTCCATAGATCCATTGAACTTCAATTTACCTTACTGCTTCAGCTACTATTTATAAATTAATATAACGTTAATTTAATAATAAGACTAAAGTCAAAATCTTAAATCACTCAGGTATATTTTAATTGTTCTTCTCACTTTCTATGAGAATATGCGAGCGAAAGACTTTGAACTTGAGTTTTTTGACTATCAAAATTATCATTAATATAATATCTCAAAAGGAGGTTTATTTTACCGCATGTTTCGGAATGTTATATATTTTAAAAAGAAAAACTGAATATATATTTGGTGGACGATAACGAAGGATATAATGGAATATAAGGCATTTCTAATATAAATTTTACTGAATTAGTGGTATTTGGTAGCATTACTTTGCATAGGAAAAAAAGATGTCAGGTCACAGCAGACTCAACAGTATATTTGATAGCGCGACATTAGGCTTTTTGTAGTTTCTTCACATTTCAATAATTTTATATTTCTCTTTTTTGTTAAGGAAAAATACATGAAGTGGAACCCTATGTTAATTCACATGTCATTCACCAATATATAGCTACCAATGTCAACTAGTTTCACAATTGCATCATTGTTTGTCTGTGTTATAGAACAATCTAGTATGAAACTATGATATTTCTATTAAGTTTGTCTGTATCGATCATCATTTAAATGAATTTAAATTTAAATGCGTAAATACTCCATTTCGAGTGTTTAAAGAAAATTTATATCTAGAGATCGAACTTGAGACTCTTGGTTAAATTTTTTATTTTTTAATTTTTTATTTATATGGAATTACAATGGATGTGGGGCTTTAAATTTATAGAAGGATTTCAAATATATTAGCAGTCCAGATTATAGACTATTTGATGTACAATACTATATAGTACAAAAATTATTGTTTGGCACACCAAATAATAATTATATGTTGGCTTATAAAAAGATGACAGCTGTTTATGTCATGACATTTTCTTGATCAATCTAATAATAGACCATGAATTATCATTCCTTTGGTCAAAAAAGATTTAAGAGCAGGAAAAATTAGCTCAACCACCAACTGGATTCCTTTTAACTGTGTAACCTTTTAACACTCAGTGCTCACTCACCAAATGTGAATGAGGAAAAAGAAGAATGATTGTGTATCTCCTTGTTTGATTATAAACCAAAAAAAAAAAAAAAAAAAAAAAAAAAAAAAAAGAAGAATGGATTGGTGTATCTCCTGTTTGATTATAAACGACAAAAAAAAAAAATTAAAATTTAAGAATAAAAACAATACCACTATCCCTGTCTGAGAAGAATGATAAAAGTATTGCAATCATCTTTCATTTTAAAAAGTTTAGTCCTATAATTATCATACTTGACATTAAATAAAATAATTAAAAAAAAAAAAAAAAAAAAAAAAAAAAAAAACTACCTGTCTAAAAATGATAAATATTGCAATATCTATTCATTTTTTAAAAAATGTATTAGGCTCTTAATACACTTTGATTATTAAAATATTTCATATATAATGATTATATACCAAACTTAATATTAATTCAACTTGAACATATTTGTTATGTAAAAGGTGATTTTTTTTTATTAATATAATCACACTTTGTGATATTAAATAATATTTTTTCGTCATTTGGGTGATTAAATGAAATAATTTATTAATTTAATTATCATGTTTTTTTTTGAGTATTGGAAAAAAAAAATTCGAAACTGAATCTATTATCAGATCATATATACACTTAATACTAGGCTATACCTTGGTGTGTAATTAATCATGTTTTAGATTATAGAACAATTAGAGAGAAAAAAAAGGGAAAAGAGAAAAAAAATATATGTATGTAAAAAATCGAATAGTTCTAACTATTTTTAATATCACTTGCAAGAAGATGAAGTTAATAACTAAAAAATTGGTCGATCCAAAATATGCAAATATACAACTCTCTGCCATATATATATATGTTTCTTCCTCTAATTACCCTCCCTCACAGAATTAATTCATCACATGCCCATATTTATATATTTTTTTAAAGAAAAAAAACACAAAAACATACATTAACACATATATGTTTAAATAAACAAGAAGAAAATGATGAGAATTCAAGAAACTAATGAAAAACCATGTTGATGATCAATTAGCCACATCTACACTAGCACCACAAGATAACAACTTATGGAAGATCCTAAACAAGGCACCACAAGAAAATTCTTTCACTTTCCTAAATACCAAACACTTTCTTTTCTTTCCCTTTTCCTTTCTCTTCTTTCCATGATTAGTCACTTTCTCTTTCACTCTACCAAAGCATTTCTTTGTCTTCTCAGGCACAGTTTCTTTTCTTGAAAATGTATAGCTCCTAAGATACATCTGCCTGCAGGAGATACTGTCCACCACCCTAGGCTGGCCATGCAAACCTTGGCCTACACGGCGGACGGTCTTTATGAACTCTGCATCGGATTCCGGCCACTTGTAGAGGTTCACATAGGTGGCGCGTACGGGCACGCGGGGGTCTCGTGTATCGTTGACACAGTTTGATATGCAGACTGAAGCCATTTTTCTCTGGAGGGAGAGAGAGAGAGAGAGAAGTTAAAGATGAGTAATGGGTTTTGGGTTATATACTGCTACAAGGCTTTGATTGGAAGGAAAGGTAAGTGGGGAGAGAAAGAGAGAGAGAGGGAGCGGCTAATTAATTAGGGATGTAGAATTTTATCATGTGTTATGATTTAGCATAATTAGTAGCGAGTGTGTTTGAGCTAGCATAGTCTTTTGTGTTGTTTAGTTACTGTTAGGTGAAGCATAAAATTGACTAAAAGAAAAAAGTTTATGTAACCCAAGAGTGAATTTGCTTACCACTTTCCATTTTTGCGATTTCGGTAAAATTAACTGTTTTAATAGCGTTTAGTTATTTAAGTAGTAGCTAATAACTATTTGAGTATTTTTTTCATAAAATTCTATAAGTTAAACGTTATAGAAATTAACTTTTTATAAATTATTACTTTAATCAATAAAAACTAGTTCAAATAATATGTTATTAATTATTATAAAAAATAACATTTAAATTTTTAATCAGCACTTAAAAAACGGTTATCCAACACAACATTTATAAAGAATAAAATAATTAGATGAACTTCGTTTTTACTAGTAAAATATACTAGTGAGAATCTTTACTTGAGAATTTAATTATAGTTTTTATATTTTTCCATTAAATTCATCATTAGTCGGAATGATTAAATAGTGTAATATAAATAAAATAAACAAAGATTGTTTAATTAGACTTTACACATAAAAGATCCTAATTCTTTATATATATATATATATATGAGAGATTAAACAGTAATTAATTCTTTTAAACAATTTTAAATGCGATATAGTTAGTATGTACATTTCATTAGAGATAATTTTACTAGCAATTATTGGAAAATAACAATATAATAAATATAGCCAACAAACCGATCTTGTTTTATATTAAGACCCTTTACAATAAAATAGATCTCAATTTATTTCTATATATATATATATACATATGCAGGAGATTAAACAGTAATTAATTCTTTTAAACAATTGTCTTAAATGTGGCGAATATACGGTTCGTATTTACCATTTCATTTAGAGATAATGTCTTACTTCTCAATTATTGGAAATAATAACAATATTATATATTTATAGCGTATATATACTATTTTTACTACTATATCTATCTATAATATATAATCACGAATGTTTATTGATGATTGTAAACAGCAGTAATTTAACTAATTTTCCACGACATTTTAAAGTGACATATACGCATTCTATAGTATGTACCTTTCCATTTATGAGCACTAATTTTTGAACTAGGCATAGTGTATCAGGAAAATAACAATTTATATATATACTAGTTATTTATAGTTATAGTAGGAAGAGTGCTCCGCCCGGGCCGTGGGTATTCCTTAGAATAAGCTTATATAACATGTGTATATTATGTAATTCAAATATACCACTAACCTCCCATATTTACATAGCCAAATCCGTGTATTCCTTTAGAATCAGTCCTTATATATACATAGTGTAGTATTATGTAATTCCAAATATCGACTAAACTCATTTTTACACTAGCGCAAAATTATACACCCTCAGTACCTAACGTCTAACAATGATATACTCCATTTCTTTATATATACCTATATTATATTGTAACATCCAGGCTCTACCGAGATATTGTCCGCTTTGGGCCCCAGGCCCCCACGTATGTTTTGTTCCTGGGCCCAGGGAACACCTCCTAGCCCAAAAACGCGTCCTCGGGAACTCCCAAGCGCCTGCTTACTCCTTATGTACAGTACTTCCACCTGTGCTTAGCACCGCACTGTGGATTTTCGCCTAAGTGCAGTCCCTGACATACACCCTCCCGGTTAGGGACCAAAGCGTTCCTCGCTAGAGGTTTGTCTCCCACCCACGGAGCCATAGGGAACTACAGGCTTTGGCTGATACCAATTGTTTGTACATCCCGGCTAGGTATCCGAGATATTCGTTCCGCGTTTGGGCCCCAAGACCCGCATCGGTTTTTGGTGCTGGACGCCAGATGGAAAATCACCTCCCTAGCCCCCAAAACGCGTCTCGGGAACTCAAGTGCCTGCTACTTACCGTGTATGTAACAGGTACTTCCACCTATTTTTTTTTTTTTTTTTTATTTTTTTTTTTGTTTTGTATTTTTTTCTTGTGCACTTTAGAACCGATGTGGGATTAATCGCATAAAGGTGCAGTCCTCCACCTTGTGCTTAGCCGATGTGGGATTTCGCCTAAGGTGCAGTCCCTGACATATATATATAAAATGAGAGATTAAACAGTAATTAATTCTTTTAGACAATTTTAAATGTGTTATAGTTAGTATGTACATTTCATTAGAGATAATTTTAATAGCAATTATTGGAAAATAACAATATTAAACTACTAATACAAATAATTTGTAGTGAATATGTTTGAGCATTAATCTTGTGTCGTTTATTTACTGTAAGGGAAAAGCATAAATTGACAAAAAGAAAAGGTTAAGGTAACCCAACGACAGTGAGTTTGCTTCCACCACTCATTTTATAAAAAATAAAAAGAGTTGGAGGAACCTTTTTTTCTTTTTTTTTTTTTTTTTTTTTTTTTTTTTTTTTTTTTTTTTTTTTTTTTTTTTTTTTTTTTCAAATGGAGGTGGAGAATTTTTCCTCAGATTCCAATAATAATAACTTTATTTTTAGAGTAAATTACCATTCGATCTAGCAGTTATACATCAAATATAATTATCAGGACCTTTATTTCTAAAATTCAATTATATAGTCCTTTAAATATATTTTTATTACACTATTTATCTTTTTTTTTTTTTTGTCAAATTTATCATTAGTGAAAAATGATTCAGGAATGTAATATAGATAAAATAAAAAGACCAAATAATTTAATTTTAAAAATTAGGGATTCTTTTATTTGACTGTAATTGGAAGATTATATAGTAATCCATTCTTTTAGGTGTTTTTACATGCCATATTGCATTTGCATGTGCATTTCATTAGAAACAAAGATTTTCATATTCAGCCTAACATCAACTAGGTGAAGATAGAAGGTTAAGAATTAAAGGGTCAAACCAGAGTCTAACTGGTATTTAATTAAAAAACATAAAAAATAATTTTTATTAAAAATAATTTTGTCTTTAACTGCAATAAATTAAAATTAATAAACTTTATTAAAATAAAAATATTATAATAATTAAACTTCACTATAATAATAGTTTTAGCAAACAATTCCAAACATATGGTATAACTGTACTATTTTAATTGTACTAATAAAATAAATAGGCAAATATTTTGAAATAATAATAATAATATTATTAATTTCTGTGCTAATAATATTGGAGTAACTTCAATGGATTTCATGCATGATAAATTTAATAAATATATTTTTTAACTTATAAGAAAGGTGAAAGTATTGAATAAAATTATTTTTATAAATAAGAGTAGAATATTTAATTTTATAAATATGATTCTATTGTAAAATGATATATGGAATAAATTATAATTATATTATAAAATGTTGAATAAATTGATATAAATTTTAATTATATTATAATTGTTTAAGGAATTATCTAAGGTCGTATAGTATATCTTACATTAACAAATATATGAATGGATTTAAAAAATCATATAATTATTTTCTTTATGTGTAATTTAATTTCTTTTACTAATTAAATTTTAATTAGGAATTCAAAATTTAATTAGATAGTTTAAAGATGTTTCCAGTTTTATAGTAAGATAATGGATTTTTAGTCTACTATTAATAATTTAATTTTATAATAGGACAAGAGTTATTTCTATGCTAATTTTTTTGTTTTAATATTGATGATCCAATCTTAAATATATGAGATAGGTAAAATTTAATATCATATAAGAATTGGATTACTGAAAAAAACATATAAAAATAGATATGTAAATAAAATAACCCTAAATGAACTAATTTGGGAAATCTATTAGATTATGAGCTAGTTTTCTAGTTTTCGATCCAGGAAAAAAAAAAAACAAAAAAAGGACAAAATGCCAAAATGAGGTTCAAACACCAAGGAAGCAATGTGCTCAGCGTGCAATATTTCTCCTTTGTTTGGCAAAATTTACAAATTAGAACCTCTTTTTTCAAAATCAATTAAATAGTCCTCTCTTGTTGTCATTTAACGGGTTTTTCTTTACCAAAATAGTATTTAAAAAAAAAAAAAGTAGTTGATATAATATATGAAAATAGAACGGTTTGCATTATATAGAACCAAGTAAAAACGTCTAAAATTGCCATGTGTGAAGAGGAATAGTAGAGACCAATAAGTTTAATTAATTATTAAAAGTTAAAACACTAAAAATAGGAACAGTACGGACTAACAATTGAATTTTGACCAATAATTAATTATCACAAATGTTGTCTACAAAATCAATCAAACTAGATCTTTATATTTTCTACTGTAGGGACCAACAGTAATATATACTTACAAATTTTTATTTTTTTTATTTACCACTTTTTATATTTTAACATTTTATCTTTTTATACGGGACACGAGATACATGAATATAAGAGATACGATAATTTTTAAAAAATGTAGGACATCTATGTAACACCCCTTCCCGGTCCACCCGTTAACCCGAATGAACCGAGCCGAGACGCTACAATCTGGTTGAACTTATATCCTGTCATGCTGATTATCTTGTATGCTGATATCATACTGTATGCAAAATATGAAATAAAACACTCCCAAATTACACTCTAAACTATCCAACATCTCCAAGGATCATCATAAACACAATAACCCTTTATATATATTCTTTACATAATTGTATAAATCCTCAAAGCATTTATATCTTAGCAAATAATTTCCATTCAGAATCTATATCAATTTTCCATGACCTTAATCATACCAACTATAGTAACTAATTTTTCATCTTTCAATCATTTCATAAATATTAATTTCTTATTCTCCAACTTACTTACACCAAAAAAATTACATGTTTCACTTTATTTTTACATCACATAAGCTCTAACAATAAAAAATTATACATGCCATAAATCTTTAAACATGCCATAATTTTAATTTCTACATCTCTCAATCTACTATGACCAAATTAAGCACTTCTGCTTTGATAGTGACTCCTCAAGTCTTAAGTAGGCAACACGATCTTCAACCTGCGCGTGATGAAAATCGACGCCGCT